CTCCTTACAGTTCACCTTAACCTTTACCACTTCGAATAATTTTGTGTCATCCACAGATCTGGCCACCTTGCTACTTGCCCCATTTTCCAGACCATGCGAGTCTGTTAAACAGCACTGGTCCCAATGCAGATCCCTGGGGGAATCCCACTGTTTATTTTTTTCCATCCTGAAAACTGATCACGTATATTCACTCTTTGCTTTTATCTTTAAGCCAATTTCTAATCCACAAGTAGACATTTCCTGTAATCCCATGACTATTTTGGAAGTCCAAAGGCTTTTTGGAAATCTAAATATATTGTGTCAGCTGGATCACTCCAATCCACTTGCTTACTGACACCCTCAAAAAACTAAAGCAGGTTGGTGAGGCACGAATTCCCTTTGATAAAGCTGTTCTGATTCCTCCACAGCAAATCATGTTCATGCATGTGCTGAACAATTCTTTTTTTATTATTGTTTCTACCAATTTTCCAGGATGTGGCACAGCAGGAGGCAGAATTGTGTGGATCATGCATTAGATCCAACTGCGCCTTTACCTGCACGTGTAGAGGGGGCCTAAAACTAACAAGAGGAAGTTTTTTCACACTGTGTGTAACTAAATTGTAGAACTCATTGCTATTAAGGGAATGTTGTGGAAGCTGACAGTTTAGCCAGATTCAAAAACAGATTGGACAGATTCTTGGAGGAAAGGATTTGTAGCTATTGAGCATGAGAGTTAGGGACACAGCCTCTGAATTGGAACTTTCTATACCTTAGATGCTGGAGGCTGCAAGTGAGAGGAACATTGGGAAAAAAATGTAGTCATACCCAGTTCGCTCTGCCTTTCAGCATCCACTCTCTGCCACTGAGAGACGGGATACTGGGCAAGATGGTCTGACCTAGTAAATTGCAATTCTTACGTCCTCTGTTGGGTTTTTTGTTTGTGGGTTTTTGTTTGTTTGTTTGTTTTTTAAGTGCAATTAAGCTGGTTTGGCCCCTGTTATCTTTTTCTTGCTGTTTTGAGTGCTGGTATTACATTTCATATTTCAAAATGAATCATTGCCTGTTATTTCAAAATGGAAATTGCTGCTTTACGTTTCTGACAGGAACCTGCCTTTTAAAAATTACTGCTGCTTAAGTTTTTCTGAGCATATTACTTGCAGTGCTCTTATGAACTTTCATTTTGCATTGTTCAATCTTATCTGCTGTGAAATAAGTTCTTTAAAGGCCACAAACAATAGAATAACTTACTACCCTTCAAACACATTAAACTCTCAAATCCCTTCCCTGTCTATAAAACTTATTTTTATGCATTTCCTTAATTATGTATTTTCAGTCAGTAATACATTTTTTTTTTTTTATGCTATATATGTTTACACATTAAAGGCAATCGCTCAGACTAGATAAAACACAGAAATCCATTGTTTAAATAAGTCACGGTACATTAGAAAAGCTTAAGGGTCCTAAAGCTTTGAGTACTGGTCATGCATGGCTAGGCAGAGGCTCTACAGATTTTCACTTCTACCTTTGATATTTCTTTTAAGTGGGCTCTTGTCTCACTTGTGCATAAGTAAATTGCAACTTCAGTGTGCCTGATTTTTTGGAGGCTTTATTCAATTCTGATTGGAGGGAGTTGAAAGTCGCGTGTAATAAATTCACATGGGTTTTGCATGCATTCATTTGGTGTGACCAGGGTAGTCAGTAACTCAAATCCATTTTTACTGAGCACATCCAAGAATATCATGCAACTTTGAGAAACATTTTTGGTTCACAATGAGAATACAAAACTGTGGTGCAAAGGGTCTGACGTCTCATGTTCTCTTCATGGAAGGATCAAACCAGAAAATTGTTAGATCTGATTTCTGTCCCTGACTATCTGTAAGTTCATACTAAATCATGGAATCTGGAGCTTTCATTGTAATCTACCAAGGGGATGCAGTGGCCCCTTATATTTAGAGGGTTGTAAATGTAAGTACCTTCTCTCTAAGTCACTATAGCAAGCTCGTTACATAAAGTTAAAATTTACTGCAGACCAGAAAACTAAAAGACAGCAGGATGTACTTGAACTTAATTCAGTGGAAACTGTGATACTGTGCAGTTTCACAAAGGAGGTTGGGTTAGTTTGTCTGGACCAAATGTAGAGGAGAGGAGTCTGAAATACAGTGTGTAATTGGCAAATAGGATGTTTTAGGATTCCCCCTTTTGTCAGAAAGGATTCTTTCCTCTTCAGTAAAAGTACATGACCATGCTTATATGGACCCATAACCCATTCTTAGTTAGGGCCCATCTGATTGTAACTGAATTCTGTAACTGCTCTTCAGGCTTGACCTACCATGACAGTTGTTGGTAGTAAAATGTTACTTCAGGTGTTGTATGGACTATTTTTTTCCAATCAGTTTTTAGCTGCAGGGTGAAAAGTCTCTGTTTACAATGACTCAGCCAGTTTTCAGAGAATGGTATACACTGTGATGGAGACATTCTTAAAAGACATGCAATGGTTCTGTGGGAGAGGGCTCCAAAACAAGTCCCTTGAGTACCCAACATGGATATTTTATGCCTCCAGTGCTATTTTTGTGTCTCTGAACTGTTTCGATTGTAATCCTGATTCTTCTTTCCCATAGGAGGACTTTCGGAATAAAGTTGAAGATTATATTAAGCGCTATGCAAGATGATGATGGGAGATGAATGGCAGGACCATGGATTTCACAGTATAGAGTTGTCTTTAACTTTAAACCACACAAAAAACCTGGATTGTACCAGTCCTGTGCCCATGTTGTATTGAAGAAGAAAACTAACTTCATACTTGTCCATATTAAAAGGAGAGTTCAGCATAAATACAGCAAGAAATTGTGTATGTTGGTTGAAAAAAAAGTTGTTTGCTTACTTATAAAATGTTTACTCTTCTGAAACTGTACTGTATATCCTGTTGATGAGAGATGCTTGAGAAATTTTTAAAAAAATCACTATCAAAATTGTATTTACACTTTTTTTTTTTAATTTTCTTCTTGCCTACTAAAAATAGTAATGTGTTTCTGGAACACTTCAAATTGGCAATAAAATGGTCTCCCTGTGACCCAAACCTTAATGCTGTTGCATTTGATGGAGCAGAAATAATACCAACTTTCCTGGGAAGTCGCTTAACAAAAGTGATCAAAGTTTAATGAAATGCATAAAATGAAGTATATCTAATATCAAAATTTTAGTCAATGTAGAACATTTTGGCACAAATTTGAAATTTGTACTCTGCTGCTTTCAATTCTTGTTTAGACAACAATATTTTAGTTTGTATGCATTTTGTGAGGTAGTTAAAATTAACAGGCTAATCCATAATTTAAGTATATATGTGTAGTATTAGTAAAAAATTGAAATGTATATTTTGTGCAAGTGCAATGAAAGACTATTAAAAAAAAGTCTTTGGTTTTCAGATCTAGATTTGGAGGTGAAATTTTGGAGGCTTTTGCATAAGTTGGTGAACATTTATCCAAGCCCTATTTTTTTGGAGAACCATCAAAGTGTATTTTTCCACATTTCTTCCCTCAAAAGCAAAATACTGATCTTTCATTTTAAAATAACACACAGTGCACCTTTGTTTAAGGCTCTTAGATAAAGGGATGATTATCTTTACTGTAAGTAGCTATCTATCAAAAATATTAAGGCTATGTGAAAGCAGAAATCCTTCAGGAAAGGGTAGTCGTGCCTCAGGAATAGTTTCAAAGCACATGCCAGGAAGCATATTAGGTCTGTTATATAAAAATTATGCTGTGTTTATTACATATCATAGCTTCCCATTACTTCTGTGGACTGACCAGAATGACATCCAATATCCTGTTCAGTACAGTGATAAATGAATGAAGAGTCATAGACATGGGAACATGTAGCGGAGGCAAAATGGATTTGATTCAAGATTTTATAAACAGACAAACCATAGAAATAAATGTTTGTGTGATTTCATATGCAGTGAGTGTATGTGTAACAGTTCTGTATTTACAATGATCTTTTGCCTCACGTAGAAGATTGCAATTAGTTCTGCTTATCATCTTTGTCTCTCATTACTGCTTTTTGGTAAATGCTAGGGTTTTCATTTTCCAATGAAGCTACCATGGCATTGACAAAGTTTGATTACAATGAGCTAGAACACTTGTCAAATATCAAGACTAGGTCACGCATTTTGTTCTTTATCATTAGACGCTGAAAGTTTCCTGGGGTCCTTTTGACTTTACAAGAGCATCAGAAAACCACGGGTTCGTACCTTGGCAGTTTAAAAAACATGTACTGGAGCTGTCTGGAGAACCCTGTACAATCATCCCAACATAAACTGAAATATGGGCATAATGCTTTTTTTTTCTAGTCACTACCTTTGCAAAGCCTATTGACTATGGGAAAAGGCAGTTGCCGTACTAGTAACAGCATGGAGTGAGAGATTCTTAGTATTGATGTGTGGGTTGTAGGAGCCTGAGACTGGAAGGGGCCTTTCCATGGGTCATCAAGTCCAGTCCCTGGCTGTTGCAGGGAATCACACTGTATAAAGGTTTTATATATAACCCCTTTAATTCTGGGGTAAGGCTGAATGTTCACAGTGTGCTCCTCATGTACAAAGCTGGTTTACAAAGACTGGAAGTGTAAATTCCGTCTAGTGAGTAAAAAAATAAGCACGAGACATGGTTAGTGCAGTGATGCTATTGGGGAGGGGAGTGAGCAAGGGTAGGGGGGGAGGGCTGAGGAAAGAAGCAAGAGTTAAATATTTTAAAATCAGTACCATAAATGACCAGGCCTGGGAGAGCATCTGTCCAGTAACCTGGTCCATTAACACAGCTGGCAATATATTGGTTTAACAAAAAAAAAAAAAAATTAATACCCCAGGAATTTTTTTCTTAAAGCAGTAAAATAAATGTAATTTCTCTGCAGCAAAGAATGTGCTAGTTAAGTCAGGGAGGCTGAGCAAAACCCCGTACATGGGTTTGTTCCAAATTTAGCCCCACACCAAGGCATTTTCAGAGCAGTACTTCTTCACAGAAGAAAAATGCAACTCCCTCTTCGCATATGGATTCATATGTTTGTTCTTGCTTTGCCCCCATTTCAGTTTGAATTCTGCACCAGTACCACTAATAGTTTAAAAACAGTTACACTGGAATAAATGTTTTCTGAACTCTGTGGTCAGTGTAACTGGGGGGACTGTTCCAGAGCAATTGAGTAGAGATTTCTGTGTGGGAGAAGATGCTTTACTGATGGTTTTTCACATTCTTTGACAGAGAATTGTATGCGAACCCAAAGTACTGCTGCATATTTGATTAAGGTAACTTGCTACTCTATCTTAGCCAATCTGCATTGAATGTGCAAGTATCAGTTGTCTCAAAAGGAGCTGAACATGCATGGACACAGGAAAATATATACACCAGTATCTGGTTCCTGCTGCACTTGGACATAAAATAAGGCACTATCTTTATGTAAAAGTTAACCAAAACCAGCTGTGCTTATTTCAAGGAGAAAATGTAATTTACTAGATGAAAAGTAATTAAATCAGTGTGGGCAAATGTTTTCTATCTTCAGAGAGTCTTTAAGATTTATGAAAGGAGAAAGAAAGGAAGCTGGCAACCACAATTAGTTGACTGTGTCTTTTTAATGTCATGGAATTCCAACTTTTATCTGGTGGCTAAGAGTGTGTGACAGAATGTTTAGTTTTAAAATATGCCAGATTATGGACTAGATTCCCATTTGTTATGATGAGGTACACCAGTGAGTGATTTGACCTTGTTAAAAAGTGTATGAAGCTGCCAAGGTAGAAGAAATGGGAAGGCAGAGAACATGATGCTGATGAAGATCAGATAGAACAGCTATTGAGAGAGAGGTGGATGAGAAGTGAGGACAGCAAAAAGGAAATTACCTGATGCAGCAAGAGAGGGGGACACCATTAGGAAGATCACAGGGGATTTAAAAATTGCAGCATCATAACTGTTAGAAGCAGCTAGTAAAATATAAACAGCATTGTCTCAGTGCCATGGTTTATAACTTTGCTTCTTGATCAGAATATTTCCCATAGAGGTTTTTTTCCCCCAGTAATAAAAGACATAAATAAGCATTTAAAGACCTGCCCTTAACTGTATTTGAGGAAACGGCTCTCTGATGCATTCACCTTGCTTGTAAATAGTGTTAAATAAAATATATTTATATTCCTTACAAATGGATGTGAAAAGCTAGTATATTATGTAGAGGTGCACCAGTACTTCAGTCCCTATTACATTGGAACTGATAAAAGGCCAGCTGGCGCTTAATGTCTGATAAATGCAGTGTGGATACTCGCAGCCAGAAATGCAGCCCAACAGCTTGGAACTCAGCATCCAGCCAGGAAGTCTGGGGGAAAGGATTTGGGGAGCACAAATCGAGGCCTCCACAGTGAGGGAGGGAGTGGGGCAAGGGCAGGGGCAGGCACTGCATACGTGGGGCAGGGTGTGGGATGGAGCTGCAGCTCATTCACAGGGGCAGGGAGGGCAGCTCCTGCTGCTGCGCACACCCCTGGGGTAGGTGTGGGGGGGGCATGTGTCCCCCAGATCTGTGTGCAGGGAGTGGGAGGGCTGCTGTTGCACACTTAGTGCTGGAGGCTGTGCCATGCTGTTCAGAGCAGAGGGGCTGGGCCTGGGCTGTGCTCGGGGCAAGCAAGGGTGCAGCAAGTGGTGCCTGGTGGGGGGCCACAGCAAATTTTGGGGTGGCTATTTGCCTGAAGTGCAGCTCAGGCCAGCCTCTCTGCCAGGAAGAGCAGTCCCCAGCCCTGAGTGAGCAGTGGCAACCTGCCCTCGCCCTGCGCAGATCTGGGGGGGGCACCTGCCTCCTATGCCTCCCCTGGGGATGCGTGCAGTGGTGGGAGCTGCACCCCCTGGATGAGCTGTGGCTCCATCCCATCCCCTGCCCTGGCTGTGCAGTGCCTGCCCCTGCCCTGCTCCGCCCCTCACTGGGGGGACCTCGATCTGCCCCTTGCCTCCCCTTCCCTTGCCCAGCACCCCCTTCCCCTCCCTCCCCCGCCTTAGCAGCTGGACACTATTCTCCAAGCTGCCGGGCTGCGTGTCAGCAAACAAATCAGTATCGGCTGATATGGCTGGTTAATAATCAGCCATCAGTATCAGCCAAAACTGCTGTATTGGTGCACCTGTAATATGCTAATAAGGGTTGTAGCAGTGTTTGAACACCATGATTCTGTTCTAACTTTCTCTGAAACAAGAACACCATATTCTTTTCTAGTTGTGTGCAGTGAAATGTCAGAAGCAAATCTAATTCTACTGTTTAGTGAAAGGGAAACCTCCAATTTTTAAAACCATGGTGAGACATTCACTAGTGAATGTGATGCAAAGATTGATCTCGCTTAGGTGCCTGACTCTCAGGGAGTGAAACCCAAGTGAAGACCCCTTATGCTAAGTGCTTAAGCCTCTTTCAGAGGTGGTTTTTAAGTGTTGCGGTGCCAAATTTCAAGGGTGTCTGGGCTTGCAAACACAGGTTAGATACTGGAGTGCTGGACAATGCTTGAGATCAGCAAGGCACCAAATAATTAGATTCATAAAAGCTGACCCACTGAATATGCAGCCATTTATAGTAGCTGGTAGGAATATGCTAAAGACAGGGATGTGGCTTATGCCTCACCTCTGAAAGAGGCTTAAGCACTTAGCATAAGGGGTCTTCACTTGGGTTTCACTCCCTGAGAGTCAGGCACCCAAGCAAGGTCAATCTTTGCACCAGAAGAGCAGGAGGTGGCAGACAAAATGGTGTTTAGAGCTCTCATTTGGGAGGCAGGAACTTAAACCCACATCTCCCACCTCCCAGGAGAGTACCTCCCATTCTGGTCTAGAGAAGTCGTTCCACTTCACATGGAATTATGCATTGGAGCAGAGGGGAATCCAGATCTCCCACATGATGTGATGCGTGCTTCAGCTATAGGACTTGAGTATAACTATGGTGGTGGCAGCACCTCTGTCTCCTCCTCTTCCTTTCCCTTTCCTTTTTGTGGGAGGGGTCAGATATGCATGGAGCATGTCTACCACATTAGATTCTACAGGCTGGACAAATGAAGGGGAATGGCTTTTCTGAATCCTGGTGGGGCTTCACAATTAGCTTGGTACTGAGCAGGTCATCATTGTCAGGGCACAGCAATTCCTGCCCCTGGTCACATGTACAAATTAATTTCTACATTCACCAATGGAAACATAGATGCTGAGAGACTTCTGGAAACTGAGGGTTAGGCGGCAGCTGAGTGAGTATGTAATAAGTCCTTCTGGCTTTTGCACATGACTACACCTCCGTTATTATTAGCCCCATGGTTTTTAAATAAAACGTTTCAGCTCTGCTTCCTATATGTATGAATCCATGCTGCATGTGAGGAGACTTTCATACCTGTTAGCAAACATGCACAGTGGTTGTTACCCCTAAGGACTTTCCAGGTTTGCTTTTGCAGCCAGGTTATTTTACTTGGAGATGTTTAAAAGCAACTGTTGTAAGATAAGGGCAATATCTGTGGTCCAGTCAGTCAGGCTGGAAGGAAACTGAAAATGTTAAGGGTGGCCTTGTTCGTGTGTAATTGCTCACCTGCTATTCCATTGGACAAAAGATTCCCTTTCTGCTTGTTCCATGCACTGATTTGTGTATGCTATTTTGTATCTCTCTAATGCTGGTCATGGGAGAGAACCACCACAGTTTTAGTGTACCAAGGTAGTGGTGAAACTAGTGTAAAGGCTAAAGTGAACAGCATCACTCGTGTGCATTTAGGTTAGTTGAGCATTCCACTTCTACACAGAGTGTTGAAGCTGATGTTCACCAGAAACAATCCTGTACCCATTCTGGGGGGGATGGAGTAGGTCAGGGTGTCAAACTCAGCTGGTCTAATGGGCCATATGAGTGGTGTGGGACTGGTCTACAGGCTGGATTGGGCCCATGGACTGCCACCATGCCTTGTGCCCTCCTCTTCTTCTCCC